ATTCCAGCCCCTTACCTATGGCACAACCAGAACCTCGGGAGCAGAGTGCATCCCAATCCACAAAAAACCCACAAGGGATGTTTCCCAGCTCCTCACGCTCCCAGGTTTGGCTTCTCCAGCTGAAGTTCCTCCGAAATCCCAGCGTAAACATCCCCGGGATGGGAGAGGGAGGAGGAGATCCCTCTGCAGGGCTCAGCGAAGAGTTAAAAATCCCGAGGATCCCTTGGCTCCCGCGGGAGCTCCTGGAGCGGGGCGGGCGGTGGAGGAGCTCTGCCGGCTCCTCATAATTCCTCCCCTGTTCCCAAGGGCTGCCGCGCTTCCCTGGGCACAATGTCCGGGATTGTGTGGGGGTTAAACCGGCCCGCACAACGCCTGCATTCACACCCAGCGAGCTCCATGGAAATCACATCCATGGAAATGATCCCTCTCCACGAAAACACCCTCCAGCCCCGCGCGTTGGGAGGCTGGTGATCCATTTCTGGTGATCCAGAGGCTTCCCCGGCCGGGCTAAAAACCTTTTTAAAGGTGAAAAAAGAGCTCTTCTTAAGAGCGATTTCATTTTTCCAGGCCTTTTTTTTCATCCTTCCAAGCCACTCGTTCTCCCGGGGCAGCGCCAGGGGAAGGGCAGGGCAGAGCAGACGCTCCCAGCTCCAAAGCCCGCGATCCTTAATCCTCCCCCTCCCCACGAGCTGAGAGCCACTAAATAATCACCGGCCTTCCAAAGAGGCAGCCGGAGGCGGTGGAAGATCCTTCCCGACGCCTCCTGACCCTGCTCCACCTCCCCAGGGACACAAGGGGGTTTTATCGGCCCCCGATCCAGCCGGGAAGGGGCAGATCCAGGATTTGGGTTTCCCGAGTCCAACCCATTCCCTGATTAAACCTCCGACCGCGGTAAATATTTAAGGCTGTTAGGTAACGTTTGGGATGCAAGACAATCTCTGTGGTGTTTAACACGTTCAATCCTTCACTTCCAGGTTTTTTTTGAGAGAATCCTCGTTGTTCCCGTGGCCTTGGAGGCTTCTCCCGGCGCTTCCCGCTCCCCCGGCCTTGCTGCAGAGCCCTCTGAGAACTGTCACTGCTCATTACATTGGTGATTTCTGGAGGTATTTATGCCCATCCCGAGGTTCTCCACAGCTGCAAGGGGGGGATGTCCAGCACTTTTTACTCCAGGAGTTGGCCTAAAACACGGTGTGGGGGTGCACAGAGGGATGAACCGTCACACACTGTGACATACCCGCTGTTCCCACACATGGAAAACTCCTCCTCTGTAGCTGCCCTGCTTCATTCCAGCTGAAATCATGGGAAAAGAACTAAAAGCTCTGCAAGGAGTGAGCAAAACATGCCCCAGTGGCCCCAGTGTCACGGGGTGCTGGGTTACACACCCCCCACAGCAGCAACATCTCACCCAGTGGGTACCACAGCTCACTGTGGTGACTTGGAAACAGCTTCCCGGAGTCACAAAGTGTTGGATCTGCCCCTGGAGCGATCATTCCCCGTGATTCCCACGCCAGCAGAGCCCTGGCAGGGTCTCCCTGCTCCCGGCCATCCCTCCAGCCCCCCACCCCGGAGCTGGAAGCACTCAGGCTCTTCAGGCTCATATCCAGGCATTCCCTAACTGCTCCTCGTTCCACGGGGCACAGAGTTGGCCCTTGGGGACACCCCCTGCACCCCGAGTCCCCAGTGATCCCCCGGGATGGGGCAGGTCAGCACCAGACACAGAAATGTCACCAGACACAGAAATGTCACCAGACACAGAAATCCTCTCTCCGCTCTCCCCAAAACTCCCCCGTTTTGCTGAGCTGTGTCTTGGCTGCTGAAACCAAGCCCTGTGTGCCCCCTCAGCCTCCTCCCTGAGCCATCTCTGCTCTGGCAGCTCGAGGTTGGGTGAAAGGAGAACCATCATGTCCTCAATACCTACATTTTCTGCTTTATTAACAGAGCAAGTCATGCATAATGGAAAGGGGAGGGAAAGTGCATCCCCGCAGCACTCGAGTTCTTCTGGGTTGTTTGGCCAAGAGAACAAGCTGGGCAAGGCAGAGCTGAGGGATTGTGTGTCTTCCCAGGGATCTGAGCAGCTCTGCTCTCCCCCCATCCCATGGGGAAGCACAGAGAGGGGGATGGTGGGCCCTGCCATGGCTACACATCCCTGATGTGCCCCTCAGCCTCAGAATTCCCAGGTTCCTGGTGTTTTGCCTCATTTTCCCCTCAGGATCAGCTCTGCGAGCAGCTTTTTTCATCCCAGCTTTCCTATTCACAGGGAGGTGAAGGATGGGACGTGCAGCCAGACATCATGGCACGTTAATTTGGATTTTTTCTGTGGCCTCAGAAGAAGCAAACGTGGCTCGTTTTGCATTTCCAGGCAGCAGAGCAGCTCCCAAGTGCAGCTGTGCTGCCGTGCCAGGCGCTGTGCCAGCACAGTGGCCCTTCCCTACACCTCCAGCAGTGGCACATCCCTGGAGAATCCACGGCAGCCTGGGCAGTGCCCATCGCCAGGGAGATCCGTGCCAGGGCTCAGGTCCTCCCGTGGGATGAGGCACGACCTCCAGGGGAGGAACTGGAGAGAACTTGGAGCAGCAGAACCCGAAGGATGGGTCTGAGGGACCTGCAGAGCACCAAGTTCTCCAGGCAGGGCTGGAAGGAGGGGCAGGGCACGGGAAGGATGGATGGATGGACGTGGGAATGTGCCAGTTGGAGAAACCCCTTCCTTTCAGAGGGTCTGCTCGCAGAAGGGACACAAAACCAGGCAAGAAATGGGTTAACCCGGCAAAAACCTCCCTGACTGCACCATGGCAGAGGCAGAGCTGTGAGGAGCTCGGAATCTTAAAAAAAAAAAAAAGGACAAAAAAACTCCCTCAAATCCCACAAACCTGTTTGTCCAAAGCGACAAGGACTGAGCCCCTCCCCCCCCCCGGGGGCCGGGGGGCCCCCTTCAAACCCTGCCTTCCCAAAATGGCCCTGGTGCTCTGATCGGGCTCCTCGGGGGCTTCGGGCGGCCCCCCGGGCTCGGCGTTCTTTTTGGCAGAGCGCTGCCCAGACATTCTCCAGCCGACCTTCGGGAGTCAATGAAGACACGACGAATTCCCGTGGAAGCGCTTTCCGCCACGGAGCAGCCACATATGACTGACTTCACAACACTCCCCCTCCCCCCCTTCCCCCTCCGGCTCTCACCAGCCCTTCCCTCCTCGTCCTCAACCTAAATAAGGCGTCACATCGCCCAGGATGCGAAGGCAGCGTCGCCGAACCAAAGTCTTACTACAAATCCCGTGTGTGACATCGATCCCGAGCTCGGGCCGCGGCCAGAGCTCCCTTTTCCTCTTCCCGAACAAGCCCTCTCCTATTCACCACAGCGATGCTATTCCAGAGCATCCAACAATATGTGCCTGTGTGTTGGGAAGGCAGCGAGCCCTGGCACTGCCAGCGCCGATGCCCGCGCGACAGTCATTCCCCAGCGAGCAGAGCCCCTCAGACATCTTCGATCGCGTCGAAATTTCGCAAAATTAAGGGAAAAGAAGGGGGGGGGCTCGTCTCTAAAAGCGGGTGGGAAGCGAATCTCGGAGCGGCTGAGAGCAGGGGCTCGGGGGACAGGGTGCCACACCGGGCGTTTGCTGGCGAATTCATGAAGTCTCCTCGGCCCCGAGTGTCAGAGCTCCCGGCAGCACCGCACCGGCCCCAGCCCCGCTTACATAAACCCCCCCCTCCGGCCGGGGCACCCCTGGGAACGGGGCATCGGCACAACCGGGGCATCACTGGGGCCAGAGTATCACCAGAACCGGGGCATCACTGGGGCCGGGGCATCGACACAACCGGGGCATCACTGGGGCCAGGGCATCACCAGAACCGAGGCATCACCGGGGCCGGGGCATCGACACAAACGGGGCATCACTGGGGCCGGGGCATCGGCACAACCAGGGCATCACTGGGGCCAGAGTATCACCAGAACCGAGGCATCACTGGGGCCGGGGTATCGTCACAACCAAGGCATCACTGGGGCCAGGGCATCACCGCGAGGGGGGCATCGCCACAACCGGGGCATCACCAGAACCGGGGCGTCAGTGGGGTCGAGACGCCACCGAGACCGGGGCATCACTGGGGCCGGGGCGTCACCGCGGGGGGGACATCGCCACAACCGGGGCATCATTAGAACCGGGGCATCATTGGAACAGGGGCATCATTGGAACAGGGGCATCATTGGAACAGGGGCAACACCGGGATCGGGACCGAAGCATCACCACGGCCGGGGCATCAGCGGGACCGGCCACACCGCGGCCGGGGCATCCACAGAACCTGGGCATCACCAGAGCAGGGGCATCACCGGCACCGAGGCATCACAGCGGCCGAGGCACAGCCAGGACCAGCCGGGGCAGCGCCGGGACCGGCACACCGAGCAGCAGCCTCGGTCCGGGCGTCGCCAAGCGGGGCCAACTCCGGGGCGAGCGAGGGAGGGAGGGAGGGGGGGGGAGAAGCAACAAGACCCGCGGACCCCGCTCGGCCGCCCAGGACCGTGTGACACGAGCGGGGCAGGCGACGCCGCCGGTGATATGCAAGTCACGGGCGGGGGGAGCGGGGATGGGGAGAGCGGGGATGGGGAGAGCGAGGATGGAGGCGCCGAGCCGCCCGCGGGGCCGGCGCGCCCCCGGCGGAGCCCCGGGAAGTTTGCGGCGGCTTCTCCCCCGCCCGTGGCTCCTCCGCGGCCGCGGGCGGCAGCGCCGCCGGTGACAAGCGCGGCGGTCCCAGGCGCTCCGCTGGCGCGGAGCATCCCCGCGGCGGCGGCGGCGGCGGGACCGGCTGCAGCCCCCCGAACCCCCCCCCCCCCCCCCCACCTCGCCGGTTTTCGCCGTGAAAAATGTCAGCGTCTCATGGCAACGCCGCTGCCCCCGCGCTGCCTCCGCCGGCTCCCGCGGCGCTCAGCGCTGTCGCGCCCCCCCCTCCGCCCCCCGCCTCCTCCCGCCCTTCCGCCCCGGCGACAGTCGCGACAAGGTCACGCGGCGCCCCGCACTCACCGTACACCCCTTGGCCGGAGCTGCCCTCCAGCAGAACCGTCAGCAGCCCCAGCAGCCCGATGGCCACATCCATCTTCACGTGAGCATCCACATATCCAGCCCGGCGGGGCGGGGGGGGGGCCGCGCAGCGCCCGCCGG